AGAACAGTGCACATCAAAGGGACTACAGAAAACATTTCGGTGTTATTTTCTTGTTCAGCAATTGTTGCCTTTTACAGCACTATCCCCAGTAACCTCAGGCCCGGTCCCCGGCTGAGATAAAGGTCCCTCTAGCTGCCACCAAGTCACCTCCGATCTTAGGGGCCCCACTGGGTAGAGCTGGGCTGCCCCAGTGGATTTCCAAAATGTCCACATCACCGTTCTCCTCAAAGCACCTGGTGGGCTTCACAGCGCACCAGGTCTCCCGCTCAGTGTCCCTGTGAGCGGGCTCTGGGGAGAGCTGTTGCCATCGGCCCTGCAGCTCACCCAGGGCACAGCCACCATCTTTGAGCGACGCTGGCTGCCCAGATCCCAGTCCTCTCACCCCCCACCAGCCCTAGTCTGCTCCCACGTTTGGCTGAGACCCACAGCGTTGGCAGTTTGATTGGTCCTGGGAACCCACAGGGGGCAGCTAGGCCCTGTCCTGTAAGGTCCCTGCGCCTGCCTGGGCTGCAAAGCAGACCGGGTTTGCTTGCACCCTAGGTGTACCGAAGGTGTGCTGATGAGTGACCTGTGGCCCAGGCGCTGGCGCTAGGAAAGTTCTATGGGTTGGTTCACTATGGTGCGGGAGGGCAGTGTGGATGGGTGCAGACCCCATGGGGACAAAGGGGGCGGCGTGTGGAGCTGGGCACAGCCTGCAGCTGACGGCACGCAGGCCCCAGCGCCAAGGCCGCACAAAGGGGCCGTGTTCCCTGCTACTGCCGGATGTTTGCACAGGTGTGGGGGGCGAGCAGTGCCACGGCGGCAGCCGGCCGGCACCCAGCACTGGCACCGCTCCCCGGCCCCGCCTGGGCTCTGTGCACGCGCGCACACACACACCGCCCACCCCCTCCCTGCTACACTAACCAAGCTGCCCCCCTCCCCCTATTCAATCCCACTAACACCAGGGGCCTGGTGTTGTAGGTGGTGTGGGGGTGGCAGCACCACCTGTCTCCAGAAAAGCTCACAGATGCAATGGCTCACAGATCCCTGGCCACCCGGCTCGGGCACCCTGTGAAGTCCTCCCCCCTCTCTGGAGATGCCATGGGCCCTGCCCTTGGCTGTCAAACCATTCTACTTCTAGCTGAGCTTACCTGCCCTCTGGCCCCCTGAAGCCCCACCATGCCCCAGGGCCTGAGGTCCCCCTACCACATAGGGCCGTTACCCCAGTCTGCAGCACTGTCTTGAAGTGCAGAGATGAGAGTACCCATTAAGCATCACAGGACAGGTGCCTGGCCCCAGAAGCCAGGCTGGGCACAAGCATTGCAGCCTGCCCAGGATTTAGAAAGGCCGGAGGACGTGTGCACACCCCCTCCCTCCCCCAATTCAGGGAGTCCCCTTTTCGCCCCACTCACCACGCCCCACCACAGCGCATCCGCATAGCTGCCGAACTCCACGCGGCCAGATTCGTTGATCGCGTCCTTCTCGGCCAGGTACACGAAGTACGAGGAGAAGATCAGGCCCAGGAAGCCGATGTACAGGGTGGTGATCAGCTCCTGGGGTGGTGCACAGGGGATGTTCACACGTGCCCTCCCGGGGACATCCAGGTCCCATACAACCTGGTGGCCTTAGGGTGGCTGGCGGACCACTCCTGGGCCTTCCTGCCTAACCACCATCATTTCAGCTCTCCTGCAGACTTGGGTTTGGATATTGAGGGGCATGTGCTTTACAGCCTGGACTTGGGGAGACCCTGGGCATGTGCCTACCCCAGCCGAGACAGCAAAGCCCCCAGTGTTTCCACGCACAGGCAAGCCCCCCCGCCTCTCCCCTTCCACACAGCCTCCACGCTGGACTCCCACGCCTGACTGACCTGCCGATGAATGAAGACCACAGAGCCCAGCAGTCTCCAGGTGCCGCCCTGCCGGTCCACGTGCAACATGCGCAGGATTTGCAAGAAGCGGATGCCCCTGCAGGAGGGTGGTCAGCGGGTGAAAGGCGTGCCCAAGGTCGGTTCCCTGTTGTCACCCTTCTCTCTCCTGCACCCACCCAGGGCCTCTTGATTCTGTTCTACAAAGCCTCTGCCCAAGCCACCCTCTGGGCGTGTAGTTAAAGGGCTAGACCCCCACCCCCGAGTGGAAAGCTGCTTGCCCGACTCCCTGGTTGGAGGGACTACGAGAGGGCAGTTGAAGATCACTGAAGCCCCACACACCAAGCCCGGCCAGGAGAGGGTGCTTAGGGGTTCTGGGGCTCTAGGTTGACCAGCCTACCTGATGGCCGAGGTAGCAAACACTTGTCCCTTGGATCCCACACACAGGACCACCATGGAGGCCACAACCACAATGAGATCTGGGGGGAGAGGCCTTTGGTCACACGGGCGTCCCTACACCACCGTGACGAATACAGACACAGTGGATGCCTCTCTTTAGGCCCGCCCACCTAGGGGACAGCCCGTGGCCAGCAGTGAGAGCCCAGCACAGCGGGAGACTCACCGATGATGGAGATGGGCTTGCGGGCGAAGCGCAGTCGCCCCCAGACGCCCACGTACTTGCTGCGGCAGCCAGCCGACCACAGGCGCACTACGTACTCGGTGCCGAAGAAGACCACCAGCACGATTTCCTGTAGGGGCAGCAGCAGCTCAGATGGGGGTCTGCACAGTGGGCCGGCAGCTTGGCCACTTGGACCAGAGCACACCCCCACAGCCATTCAAGCCAGAGCTCTCCATGGCTCACTTAAACGCTCTGCACAGTGCCCGCTCTCCGGACTTTAGACCCAATACCTTGGAGTCAATACCAAGTCCCTGGCCCCATCGGAGGCTAGAACTGCCCCCTGTAATTTCTGGGACTCACTCTGGCAGTAGAAAACCCTTCCTCCCAGAGCAAATGTTTTGAAAATGATGAGGGCAATGAATGTACAAATGTGCTTTACACAATTGATGTATGTATGGATTGTGATAAGAGTTGTATGGGCCCCTAATAAAGTGATTTTTTAAAAAAGAAAACCTTTTCTCTCATGAAGCAGCTGGTTAGCAGCCCAACATGTCACCATTATGCCACCAAGGTACTACAGCCTTCACACCAGAGACGCAACACACCGCAAGGCCTCTCTGCCCACGAAGATCAGGATCCCCTGTAGGCCATGTGCAGTGAGCACAGCAGCCCACGTCTGTTGAGGTGGGCGGGGCACGCGGGCTCAGATCCCAAGAGGGGCCCAGTAGTGTTCCATGAAGAACAGGTAAGGGCTTCCTAGCAATCGGCAGGCTGTGATTCTGCCTCAAGATGCATGATAGGCCGCTCCTTCTCTAGTTGGTTCACACACTGTCTGGACCACGAGCTCTAGGCGTAGGTAAATGGCTTGGCCACATGTGAAAGCCAACAGGTAACAACTTACACTGGAGGGAGGTTGACAGACCAACTAAGACCAAGATCCTGAGCATAGCATGGTCAGTAGTGCACCCACTAAGATCCACAGCCCCGTGGCCACCTTTGCACCTGGCAGGTTACCCAGTGTCTGCACCTGCAGTGCCGACCCTCTGGGGTAGGGCCCTCGACTTAAGTCTGTTCGGCTCAAGGATTTGGAGACTAGCAGTCACAGCATGGGGGGGCTGCGCGGGCATAGTTCAAATGTGAAATGGCCCCAAGTACTGGCCCACCTCCTACTCGGCCCACAGGCCCAGTGCCTCGCCCTGCTCTGGCACACGGGGGTGCTGAGTGCCTCTGGGGAAGCTGATAGGCCCGTCCATCTTGTCCCCTAGTCCGTCTCTGGTGCTCCTCAGCACCCAGGCAGGTTGCTCCAATACCATTAGGGTGCCATGAGTGGATGGTCACTGTCCCCAAACATTAACAAGGAGACACAGGTGCTTGCACCATCTAGCTGGTGGAGAGGATAGGTGTGTGAGGGGGTGGGGGTGTTACCCTGCTTTTCTCCTGCAGAGGTCTTTGTCCTGTTGGGAGGGTGCACAGTCGGGTTTTATAAGAAAAGAACGAGATGCATCCACCCCGCCCCCGCTCGTCTGTGTACTTCTAGCCCTTGCCCCGCAGCCTCCCCACACACCAAGACGAGCAGGGATGCGGGCAGCAGCGCGGGTGCAGAGCCAGTGCCCGACCAAAGCGCCCATGGCAGAGCAAAGATCAAGTCTCTGAGGAAGTCGGATTTGAGACCCTGCAGGACAGCGGGGGGTGGGAGGGTGCCGAGGAGAGACCGGTCCCTGCAGAAGGGCACAATGCTCTGTGATAGAGCCACGGCTGACTTAGGGACCCCTGCCGTGGGGGATGGGGGTTGGTTTCCAAGACTGTAACTGGTGGTTCTGAACTGCTGACCATGTGGGTTGCAGCCCCACGGGTAAGCATTGCCCTGCCAGGTTAAGTAGAGGGACAGAGAACAAGGAAGGCCCTAGATTGGGGGGGTGAGGGGTGGCGTGGCTCAAACACAAGAATGATTGATTGGGAGGGGTGACGCAGGCCCTGCATGGGCTTCATCCTGTTTGTACATAAGGTCGCTGTGGGTCAGAACCAACCCCACAGCACCTGACAAGTCTTCACGGAGGCCAACTGGCTCATGTCTCTCCCCCTGGTGCATTTGAACTGCCCACCTCTCCACGAGCACTTCAGCCCTTCACCTCCTCAGGCGGTGCCACTCTGGCTGGAGGAAGTGAGGGTGAGCCACCCAAACGCCCTGAGAGGTTGGTCGGATCTGGGTGTTCCTCGGAGCTGGCTAAAGTCTTCCAGAAGGCTCTGAGGGTGTCATTTCTGACGTGGAAACCTTGTCGCTTGAGAGACAGGTGGTGAGTGGGGCCAGGGGACGGTCATACCACCTCTGTCTCAAGGACACGCTGCCACCGGGACGTACCCTTCTGGGTGGATGCTGCAGGCGATGGCTTGTCACGTCAGCCTCAAAGGGAACAAAGGAGTTGCTTCTGGGGTGGGGGAAGACAGGGCAGCAGTGACCCCCTGACCGTGGCTGCCAGGAAGGATGGGGCTGGGGTTTCCCTTGACCTCCCCGTTTTTATCATAAGTCAGTGATGTGCTGTCCTTTGAAGATGTTCAAGGCCCCTCTGCGGACTTTGAACCCCGGAAGCGGTGCCCCCGAGGGATACGGGTCGGTTGTCCACACACACCCCGGGGATGAACGTGCCCCCCCCCACCAGATTCTTATCGCATCCATCTGTCCATGTGATGGAATACTCCAGAGAGCTCTGGGGGACGGGCCAGCAGGGGAGCAGGGGCCGCAGAGCCCGGGTGCACAGCTGGCCTTGTGGGTGCCTCCCCAGGCGGGGCCCTGGGACCCAGCTCTCCTGGGGGATGAGCCGGTGCTCTGGAGGGTGGACAGGACCTAGGCTGAGGACAGAAGGTCCAGGGGCCTGGAGGAGGGCAGGGTGGAGGTGTACTTGGGCCAGCTCAGTCCATTGACCAAGGCCTGGGTGATCAGGGGTAAGATTTGGGGTCTGTCTACCCAAGATCTGCAGCTGTCCCCTACATCTACACACACACACAGTCCTGGCCACAGGGGCCGTGGTCCCCAGAACAAAGCCAGCCCAAAAGGCAGGAGTGGAGACCCCACCAAGCGCCCCGAGCGTGACGCCAGGCAAGGTCAGCTGGCTGGTGCGCCACCCAGGCGCTCGGTACTCAGTGCCCTTTGTGCCTGGCCTGCCCGCAGTCAGCTGCCCCACTGCGGGTATGTCCCTCAGGCCATGCCTAGACAGGTGTGTGGGGAAGACACGGGGGTTCCATGGGAATCCTAGGCCCTGGAGGTAGTGGTGGGGGCCAGGAGAGGCGAGAGAGGAGGTCTGAGAGCCCAGCCAGCCCTCTCCCCACCCGCTCTTGCTGAGTGCCCACCCAGAACCCCACATGGGGCACCCAGAAACCTGTGTGGGGTGCACTCGGGGTGCTGTGTTCGGGGGTTTCAGGCACACCCCAACCCTCAGCCTGGCACCACTGCCCGTGTGTCAGGTGCCTCCCATACCCCACGCTGCCCCACCTCTGGAAGCTCTGCAGCTCAGGGCTTCTGGTCTGCAGCCCACCCCCCAGTGTGACTACACTGTCCCTGAGGGGGCAGCCCCCTGCCACCCTGAAGTCTTATGAGCACCTAGGGTTATGACTGGGAGGCAGGAATCCCTCACAAGGGGGGACTGAGGCCTGACCGTGTGGATTAACCAGCTGCCCTGCATGCCCACCCTCAGGGGGGCCATCTCAACCCCCCGACAGCAGCCACGCCGGCCAGCTGTCCACACAGCCACTCCTGGGACAAACCCGACAGCTGTCGTCTGTGTCTGAGACGCGGGGCGGGCAGTGGTCCCAACCTGGGCAGGCGGCACAGGCCCTGCAACTGCCGTTACTCCCAACAGGGGCTACAGGTAGAGCTGTGGCCAGGGCACGAAGGGCGCCCGGCCCTGTGCCTGTGGAGTCGGAAGTGCGTCACAGGAGCAAGGCCATGGCAGGCCCCCGAACCGTCACTGCCCAGTCACAGAGAGACCCGTATTGCGAAGGACCCACACCACGGGGCCCTGGGGACATGGGGCTGCCCGGAGAGAGAGGGGCCTCCTCCCCAGAGCCCCAGCGAGAGAGGGTCTCCCCAGAATCAGAGAGGCGCTTCTCCCCACCCCAGAGAGGGCCTTCCTAGAAGTGGAGAGAGGGGTCTCCCCAGAACTGGAGAGAGGTCTCCCCACAACCCAAGAGGGAGGGGGTGCTCCTCAGAGCTCCAATGGCAATGGGGAACCACGCAAGGGAGGAATCCCAAAACCAGAGGGGACTCAGAGAACAAGGGGTGGGGGTACCTTCCAGAACCAGAGAGGGAGAGGGCTCCTCAGAGCTCCAAGAAGGGTCCCCACCCTGAGTTCCTGAGAGAGGGCCCCCCTGCACTGTGCCTGGGTTGGGTCACTTGGGCCACCACCCATGGGAGGCGGGGGGTTCCTGTCACAGCAGCACGCAGACCCCACTTTCCCATACCCACTGCCCGGGCTCTGGGGCTCCCTGCTCCCCCCAAGGCCACACGGAACCCCCAGCTGGGGTTGGGCCCTGGACTCCCCTGTTGGCAGGAGCCCAAGCCCAGCCTTGAACGATGGCCCAGCGGCCTGGGGCCCTGGGCGGGGGCGGGAGGCCCAGCACACGGTGGGGAGGGCAGCGGCCCCAGCATTCCCGGAAGCCACCCCAGGGACAGCCCACAGCCGGGAGTGGGGGTGGCGTGCGGCCCCCTCCCCTGCAGCTGGAGCTGGGGCCCCCCGGCCTGGCTCGGAGGCTCAGAGGCCCACCACCGGCTGGCTGTAGCAGGAAATGGCGGCCAGCTGGCCCACGGAGGCCATACGTGGCGTCAAGGGGGCTGCTGGGAAAAGTAGGGCGGGCGGGCCGGCCAGCCCAGACCCTTCCCAATGCCTGCCTGAGTTTCTGTCTGGGTCACTTTAGTCCCCAGCCATGGTCTGCCACTCTGGGAGGTTGGCCAGAGTCCCACACTCTGGGCAGTTCATCTGGGTGCCTCTAGCCCTTGACTGGACAGGGCTAGCAGGGCACGTTCAGAGACCCTGTCTGAGCTGTGCCAAGCAGCTCGGAGATGGGAGCCAGGCCGGGCCGTCTTGGCATGGCACATGGCGGCACGCCCGCCCCCCTGCCCACAGTGAGAGTGACAGC